TATCAGCAATTCCGACGCATTCGTAGTTAGTGCTGCCTTTGGTTTTTATTTGTTTTGATGTTTTGGTTTAATAATTCCAAATTAAAATAAAATAATTCAAAATAAAATAACTCGAATCAGTGATACCATTCTCACAAATTTCGAATTTGCGGGAGAATTTCGTGATCACGACGGAATTTATGATAGCGTGACAACGTCGGGACAGGGCTGCCAACTACCCTTAGCTATGAGGTGTCATATTGAGGATAAAAAAGTGCCAAATAGAAAAATAAAAATAAATTCAAACATTAAGTGCCATTTGATGTAAAATAGGGCCAAAAATGGCACGGTTTAAGCAAAGTTGGCAGCACTGCGTCGGGATCTCCGACGGAATTGATGATAGGTCTGTCAGGTTGCCTCCAGTAGTGGCTGTCAAACTTTTATACTAACCGATCTTTTGGTCTTTAACCGGTTCCGGTAAAGTATGAAGGTCCCAAGCCGATACACCGATAGTTTTAGTACCACTGACGTGTTGAAGTCAAATCCTACAGTGGTACTAAATTATGCATAATCAGCTGTTTAATCTACATAAATAAAAAATAAAATAAATAGCAAAAATTACGAGACTACCACAAATGGTGAAAAATAATAATTATTATAATAAATATCAATAACTTAAATTGTTTCGATTTATACCGGCAATGCTACGCTTCCTGCACAAGTCAAGAGTGCATTGGATGCGCCTGTCCCGTTTTCGTTACCATTCAACAAGCGGAAGAGGTGGTGCAGATGCCGGTGAATCTGCGCGGAAACAGCGACTGAAGTCTACTCTTTACTACTTGACCGCTGGTGGCATATTTGCTGCAGGTGCTAGCTATGCTGCAGTGCCTCTTTATCGCATGTTCTGTCAGGTGAGTGCCAATATCGCAGCTCATAAAACAACCAAATTTATCTTACCTAACCACAGGCCTACAGTTACGGCGGCACAACAACACAGGGGCACGNGTTTTGTTTTAAATTTAGCACATTAGGAGAAAGCATCCGAATTAATTAATTTAATTTATTTACCCTCGACTGCTCCGTTGTAAATAAACTTCTTAGTAAATAGAGTATGACTTTGGTTATATAAGTTAAAAAGCAATGCAAAAACCCTTACTAGTATACACAAACATGACGTTTGCAATATTAAATATGAATTTGCTGATTTTAAAACATTTATGCCGTAAATTGTATGTAATTTTAAGCAGCACAACAGTGGGTAATAGCAAGTAATGCCATTCTTGGTCTAAACGGTGGTGGTAACGTTGCTAGGAAACGGAAATTTTATGTAAACAGATTAGTTACTTTCGAAGCGTTTGCTAATTCAGAGTTACCTTTCATTGATATTAAATTATAAATTAAATGAATAGGACATAACAATTAAAGCCGAGTTATAATGAAGATTGGAACAATTTCGCGGTAACACACAGCTTTATTGGATGATAAGTAAATTTCTGCGATTTCCTTTATGGTGAACGGACGGATCCAACTTTCATACCTGCCATTTTTAAATAATGTCAAAAAGTTTTACACTGCCACACTTTCGTTTGCTGTAGAGGCTTAATAGAAATATTTTTCTCAAAGATTTCGCGTAATTAATCAG